TGCCCCAGGGGGGGGCGGAGCATGTGACAGGAGGGGGCCCACCCTCGCCCACAAACTTTGCGTGAGGCTGCCACCGCTGCCTCTGGGCTGCCCAACGTGCGAGCTCCGGGCAGGGAGCAGCAGCAAACACTGCAAAGTGTGGCAAATGGTGGGGCTGCAGCTGCTGCTGCCATGATGCAGCCCCAACAGGTGAGCCTGGGGCTGCCTGTGCCTGCTCCAGACAGCCCCGTGCGGGCTGCAACTGGCTGCAGCAGGGAGTGTGGGCCACAGGCCGGGAGAGGGTCCACTTTTCCCCACACTCTGCATCAGCTCCTTCCCTGCTGGTGAGCATGGGGTTGGGGCTGTCCGCTGTCCCTGGCCTGTACTGCAGAGCTAGGGGGCACTGGGAGTGAGCAGGCATGGGAACACAGGGCCTGCACTGGTGTCCCAGGGCCAGCAGCAGGAGTACAGGGTCTTGGCTGGCAGGGGCACTGAGGAGCTGTGCCAGCTCCCTGCTCTCCCTGGTGGTGCAGCCCAGCCTGGCTCCACAGACCCCTGCCAGCCCATACCCCACTCTGGGCCCCACTGGTGCTGGCCCTGAGACATTGGTCCCAAGACATTGGGACATTGGTCCCAAGATGGTGACAGGGAGCCGGGCACCTGTCAAGGGGTGAGGCTACCCATGTGGCCCTCGACAGCTTGCCAAAATTGGGTAAGTGGCCCTCTGCCCGAAACAATTTCCTGCCCCTGCCATACAATGATGTAATGCATCACTATGTTCTCATGGGACAATGTGCAGATGTGCCCAATGTATGGCAGTTAATGGACCTGTTCTTGTATAGGTGCAATGCTTGGTGTCTGTTTCTGACCAAAGAATACTTCCTTTCGCTGTTACACTTGAAGATACTAGTTAGTAGGTCTTGACCAATATGCCATGCCCCATGGGTAGGCTTAGCCGAAGCACAGTACCCCATGAGCTTGGCTCTTCTTTCATTCCAGAGCTAGGACATTCATACCTAACTCAGGTATGTCTAAAGTATATCAGGCAAAAGGACCAAAAGAGAGGTGGGTTGTGAAGTTGGGCTTGATTTTTAAGAGGGAAATCTGTGAGGCTAGGCAGGGGAAGGGAAAGGCATAGTATCCAAAAATTTGAAAACCATTGAACTGTAAACAATATTCAGATGAGC